AGATATTGGCCAAAAATCAACCCTAGGGTCAGATTAACAGATTTTCTGTTGATGCAATATTCATAACATGCCTTTCATTATTTCATACTTATTAATTGTAAAAGCTTAACCTATAAGCGTGATGTCTCTATTTCCACAGGGCTCAAATCCGAGAAGCAACTCATTTTGTCAGCACACTTCGAAAATAATATAGACACCAGTTAGTTGATGGTGGAATTTTACTGCTGCCGTAAAACCGAAAGAACGGACGGGCGACAAAAACGAACTCTGCCGTCAAGAGCTGTCCTGGGTGTTTTTACCGCCCCCCCCCCTCTCCCACTTCGACACAATTTACATCATTTAGGAGGCGGGCTCCGACTCTGCCTGTCAGGGCCAACCCATGGATAAAACGTCTCAGCAGCAAGACGGAGATACTCGATAAAAATTCTCACCACATGGGATCAAACTCATGTCTTCTGCGTGCGACGGCCACCAAAGGATTATTAACGTGAGCAACTTGCCCACGGGACCTCCGAGATTTTCGCCCTTGTTTGTGAAGGCTAAATGTAGATGATCAGGGGTGTGGCTAAAATACAGCACTAAGAAGGAGCCAAGGAGAAGCAGTAGAAAAGCAGCAGAAAGAGTCAAGAGCCCAGAGGAGGGGGCAAAGGAGGTGGGAGGTGGGGGCAGAAAGTGGAGATGAAAGCAGACGACAGAATATGGCTAAAGAGCAGAACAGAAGGAGAAAGGAGACAATTTTAGAGAAGAAAATGTTTCCGTCGCAACTCAGATTCGAACCCGAGACCTTTGAATGAGAGGCGGACACCTTAACCCTTAAGCCACGAGAGCACCCTGGTGAAGAGTCTTACCGCTACACCACAGACGCCAGTCTGTGGGTCTCTCAAGGTCGGTGTACATTTTGTTGTGGGACCAATCTGAAGTAAGCCTATAGGAACACTGGGGTGATGGCCTCAGCAGTCTAGTGGTTATGCTACCGGACTCGCAATCATGAGATTGAGGGTTCGGAGTTCGAGCTTCGAGGATCACCTCGATCCGACGTGGTGTCCTTGGGAAAGGCATTTAGCACGAAATTTCCCAGTTGGCTAAGTCCTGTCGTAGATGGACATCAAATTCGGATTTTCCGCCTATTAAATATCCTTACAGCATTGCAATGGGTGTTCAACATATCGACAGTCAGCTGTTCAGATGCACTAAGCCCAAAAATTAATGTTAATTTTTTCTTTAAAAGCAGTTTCTTAATCTGTGGTATCGGTTGCTTGTGCTCAAGAAATATTTGATCAAAATTTAAACTCTAAATAAAAAAAGCAAGAAAAGATACATAATTTAGGTACAATTACTAAAAGAAAAAAAGTTGTGTTTCTCTTGTCTGAAAAATGTGGTTTGTTGGGCTTAGATCTAGTACATTTGAATAGCTTGCTGGTGATGCACAGTTTCGCATATTTCGAACACTTGAGAGTAAGTATTACCTGCTGGATAGTTGCTCTGGGTTGGTCACGTGAGGGAGAACCTCACAGGGCATGCTTGGTCATTGGGGAAAAAAGGGCGCCGGAGACCAGAACATTCGAGAAAGAATCCGCGGACAAAGAAAAACCCTGCCACATTCGAGGAAACAAACTTGGGACTGAAAGGAGTCCGCTTTTATGTCGGAAACGCTCAATAATAGAGGGCAATTCGATTGCGTGCGTTATGTCGAAGACGGAGTGTTTAATCGTCTCGGACTGAATATACACGTCATGTACCTAGTGAAATTTATCGCCCTGCACATACATTATGCAGTCGAACCTGCTCTTACGACCACCTTGTCCAAAACGGTCATCTCTACTAAAAATTCGTTTTCACACATCCCCCCACCCCCTGCTTTCCACCTCCATCCCTCACTCTCGCCCGAGTTTGGTTGGGGGTTTTTTCTATGATATTACAATGAAATTGTACAAGATGACCTTATCAATGTTTCTGAGATGACCACCTTTCTCTTCGACAATGGGTGGTCGTCTTGAACCGGTTTCATTGTGCATTATGTCTAAGACGGGGTGTTTGATCGTCTTGAACAGGTACGACTGAATGTATACGTCATGTACCTGGTTTCCTCCCCTCACGACGTCGTTTTAGGACCAAAAAAAAAAAGACTGTCGGACGAGTCGGCAAAAGAAATTTTGCCCCGCGAGTCGAATTTGAACGGCGGACTTTCGTGTGAAAAATTATAATAATAATAATAT